GATTCTTTTGGAAATAATCAATATCTCAAACACAGTATTAGCAAGATAATGTTACGCCAAGTGAATTTTAAGTCAATATTTTTTTTTATCTTAGCCGCAGAGTCGCAAAAGGCCATGGATCTAATTTTACTGTACGTAGCATATTGATTATTTTCATTTGATATTTTAGTCTAGACTGCTCCATTTCTAAGTGTACAAACATAAGCGTACAATTCCAATGTATAAAAAGACTAGACATTTTTATCTGTGTTGACAAACCACATCCCCAACCCTAACCCAAATGTTGCAATTGTTGTTAAAGACTCGTAGATAGATTTCTAAATGGGACTACATTCTAGCTGAAATTGTGGCAGGATCGTGACCAGGCCCGGGTCTTGGGGAGTTTGAAAACAGTTAAATATAACCACCATGCTGAAAGACAATCCACAAGTCAAGAATTACAACAACATCCGCTCAGTGCCAGGTGAATAACAACATTTTATGAAGCGTGTATTTTGGTGTTAGTGAGACTTTCTTGCTCTGCTCAAGTCATTTAGCCTGTTTGCTGTCTTCATTGTCGACGTCAAAGACTTGTTGAAGCTTTTATTGCCAGTTAGAGATTGCCACCCCCGGGCTTTGAGGTTGTTTTAGTACCCACTTCCTCCTCCAGAAGTATCTGACCAATGGCAGCATCCAGCAGCCCTCCCATAAAGTCTAACCATCCAATCAGATGAGAGGAAAACACATCTTCAGACCTCTCGCAGTGCTCCCGAGCTTGTTCAGACAGATTTCCTCTCGTAAACTATCTGAGGATCAGAGGGGGAGGCTGTAAACACATAGAGGGACAGCTCACGTAGTTACAGCGACCTGGAACGAAGAGACCAAGGCGTAGTGCGGACTTCATTAAAACAAAGCCCCGCTGAATTGTGAACTTTACCTACAAACAAGAGCTAATCACTTCAGTACACTCAAAGAGGAAACAGGCAGACGAAGGGTGATGTAAAACCAAGTGCAACAATGAGCAAATCAAGTCAATATGGCAGTCCTTTTGTTCATTCAAATTTCTCTGCTAACCAATTCTGTATTTTGATTATCCTTGCTCCTTCAGTGGGTGATCTAGTCTCATAAAACTAATAAGAAAGCACTGTTCTATACACTTCTTTCATTCTCATCTATCAAAGGTTTCTGTAACTTTCTAAGATACAGTTAATGTTTTGCCAACTACCCTTGAGTTAGTAGTACAAATCTCTCCCAAAAACAAAAATAAAGATAAGACAGTTGCCAAAACCTTTCTTCAGACATAATTTGAGATATTACATAGGCATAGCTAATGCGAATTTGGCTCTTAAAGGCACTGTACCTTTTTTTTACATCTTAAAAACTTTAAAAAACAAAACTAGAATATTTTGTTATTCCTCACTTTTCTACAGCATTCCAAGCATTCTAAGTATTGCCTGAGTTAATAAATGCTTTTCTCAACTTTCAGATACAGTTGTTTTGCTGTCATTGTAAAGCTAACAACTATCATGCTAACACTGCACTTCCTGGTTCTAGGACAATAAAACTGCACTGCATCTCCACTGCATGGATTGGACAAAAACCGGGTACAGACACTTTAAATATTGCTTAAAGGCTAACAGTTTGATTTGAACCAGTCTGTATTATTTTTGATCCAATTCATCAAACCTCATCTTCCATTTCTTTCACCGCATTGACACCAGTGATGGCGGAGGTTGAGTTTGAGCTGTTGGAGACATCTGCGTGCATGGAGAGTTCATTCTTTCATCTTTGGATCCGTTTCCGTGCGCGTCTGAGCTGCTGTCTTCAGATGTTTCGCAGACATGCTAATGTTGTTTTGCTCACTGCACTCATTCATTATGGCATTAACTAAGGCATTTGAGGATGTACAAGTAGCCCTTTACAGCCAATTTGTCAGTCCATCATCAACTAAATATAGATTTTATTTGAGTCAGAGTTTAGTCTTGATGGTAGTTTTTGCATTTTGGGGGGGCGTGGTGAGGCCTTAGATCCTGGTTTTGACCTGAAAGCGTGCTTCCTGCGGATCGCTCTCTCAGGGGTCCAGCAGTGGAGCTTACCATCTGTGTTCTGTTAAAGGCATCACTGCGGGAGTCAGGCGCGCAACACTTGTTCCATTGATTGAACTGAAGATGCAACTGAGCTGTTGGCTCATTGACACAGCTCCTGGGTGCCCATTATTGTAAAACGTCTTAATGTCTATTTAAACTCCTGTGAACTAGGGTTGTTGAAAATCATATATGAAGCAATACTAAAATTAATTTCGAAACTACGTACTTTATTGAGGAAGTAAGACATTTTATTTGCTTTGCTGAGCAGTTTTAGTCTCATTTTGAGCTTCATCAGAACTAGTAAGATTCTGTGGTAACATAAAGAAAGAATACCATGACAAGATTTTATTTCCATCATAATTCCAAGAATTCAAATAAAAAGCATTTCTTCATGTTGCACTGAAATGAATCATGGGATATGTAGTTTCTGATGTTCATAAATGGTTGCTACTATAAAACCATGCATTTAAGTGAAGGGACGTGTGATTCTATATATTGTGACAGCCCACGATATTATTGTGAGACTTTTGATGATACGATATGACGATATTTCAGTTATTGAGTGCGTATACATGCACATCAATAACCCGGTTATGATCAGGTTTTTTGAGTATCCCGGTTTCTTGATGGTGCATGTATACGCAGTAACCTGAATACTGACATAACCGGAATATGGCTAATAACCGGGTTATTGATGTGCATGTATACGCACTCACTGTTGCATTCCTAGTATTGAGTAATGAGTCATTTCCTTAGTATTAAAATTGAGTTTGAAATTTTATCATTATAACAGTAATGTAAACAAATTTTATTTAGAAACGACACTTGCGAGTTATAACTTCTGACAGACCAGCCATTTTATTTTAAAAAATATAAAAAATGTCATAAATATCATAAAATGTATTAATCTGATGACTATTATTATTTACCATGGAAATATAATGATGTTGGCACCACAGGATAATTTTTTATTTTATTATTCAACACAGTTTTCACATGAAACAGTGTCACCTAAGTCCACCTTGACTCTTGGATAAAACACTTCATCCGACTTCTTATCCACGCCTCATTTACTCAATACTATAAGTTTTACAATATGCATGTGAAAGAGATTGGTGAGTCAATTCTCGGTTAAAGTGGAGTTAATTCCAAATGTACATAGCCTTGTGGAAACACTTTGATAAATGTCAGGCTCTGAAAATAATTCTGATCACCTGGTGTAATTGCGTGACTGTCAATCTCACAAGACTTGTTTTCATAATCCGAAAATCTCAAAGGGGGCCATTATTCGTAGATTTGCAGCTTTCCTCCTGAGTGCTGCCATTGTTTGGTTTCAAATCCTCAGCACAGACAAGATGCTTAGCTCTTTACCTGAACGCTGATTCTGCTCCAGTGGTGACCAGAAGGCTGTCAGCATCCCAAGTTAATGCTAGAAATAGATTTAAGAACAAGAGACACTTGTTTTACAGGCTTCTGGGAATGGGGAAGTATAAAAAATAGTTATAATTTAATGAAAATATTATGAATAGATTTGTAGCGTTAGGGTTCCTGGCTCTCCTCCTTGTGGGGGGTGAGAAGTCCAGAGCCGCAGGAATGTGAGCCGCTGTCAGGAAGCAGTAAAGTGCTGACGCCGAGGTCAGAGCACGTTTACGCACATGTGGCTTCACTTTCACTACTCCATTTGGACGGTTGTCTGTCTCTCTCCTTCATGTCCACCTTGTGCTGTTCAGCCTTATCTTCCTCTTTCCAGGCACCTCACTTTTGTTAGGGAAAGTTTTCTCCTGACATGTAGACACCTTATGTAATATTGTATTAGAGAAACTTAAATTCTGAGATTTCTTTATTATTATTACGATGATGCTGGTGCTCCTCAGAATCAATGAGATACTTGAACTTTTCACATTTTTACTTTTCTATCTGTGATTATTTGCTCATTGACTGTTGGCTTTAAAATTGGTTATTGGTCTGGTTTGTGGAGAAGTTAAAGGTGCAGTATGTAACTTTCTGGACGTGGCACATCACCTGCATGATTCCATGGAAATAGAAAGTTAAAACCATACTTCAAAACATTTTCCATAGAGATAATTTTAATTTTAAACCATACTGTAGTCATCAGGTTATAGTCAAATTAACAACATTTCAATGGAAACAACCAGAAGGAGTCCTCATTTAGGTCAAGTAAGAGTCAGGTTTGTGGACTTGCAAGCCCGCTCAGTGTAAGGCTGCATGTTTTTCAAAATGCTTAATTTTAAAAAATCTAATCTAAAAAAAAAAAAAAAAAAAAAAAAAAACATACTTTGTAGGGATGTAACAATAACCAAAATATTATGATATTGTATCTTCAGAGTTCTCACAATAATATCGTGGACCATCACAATATATCAAATTACAAGTCTCTTATCTTAAATGCACAGTTATGGTGCAGCAGTAGCTAAAAAAAACACAAAGGGAACTACATAGACCATGATCCTTTGCTCCATTTCTACAAGACTACAAGAAGAAATAACTGTTCTAAGCACTTTTATGTCTTAGTTTTTTGGATTAAGTTTTGTCAAGGCATTTTAAGAGGAAAAAGCAGCATATTAACAGTTTTGTTAGCCTCCACAAAATAGCGCAATAAATATCGTACTGAGAGATTTGGATATTGTTACATCCCTAATCATGAGCCTCCCCACCATATCACAATCAGTATTGTACCATGAGGTTCATACAGTGACGATATCGTATCGTGATATTGTTACACCCCTAATACTTTGGTTTTAACTTAACTTTTAAAATATGGGTGAGCTCTCCCCAGAGAGCGAGGTTACTGCTGTATGGCACAAATATACAGCATATCAGTGACTCACACCAGGTCTGTTGTTGATGAGGGAAACCCAGATAAGCTTTCAAGTTTTCATGTAAAACTAAATATAGCAAGTACAAGTACAGACTAGTTTAGAAGACTTCATATGCCAAGTCAACAGGTTGCTGTGTTATATCCAGAAACAACCTGTTATAAAAACGATGTAATCCCAAATTTGAGACTACGCTTGAGGTAATGGACACAAAACGCCATTTCCTGAAGTTGATTGAGGAGCGTCTCCTTGGCGTTCCTCACAATCCAACAGAAGATTGATGCTGGCCTGTTTGGCTGGATTTACCGCTTTCATCGACTATAAATGTTGACCATCTGGTGCACAAATAACCTGGACACCATCAGCTAACACAACAGTTTCCTGCTCAGTACCTGGACACGGGCAATTTACCGTATGTAGAAACCAAAACTGTATATTGTAAAATCTTGTAAACCGCCAACAACTATTATTACAGTTGATATTTTTTTAAGCATTCATTATGAAACATGCTGCTTAGTTGTACTCTCAAAGATATCAAAAGTGCTGTTAGTGTATTTTTAAGCTCAATCTCATACTGTGTACTTAGTCCTTCGAAATGAAAATTCTCTGACCTCGATTAGCTTCCAAAACTGATCTCAAGAGAAACATCCCAAGGCTAACGCTAGGCTAATGAGAAACCCAGGAGAGAATGTAAACACCACATTTCTCACATTTTTGAATAACTTCGAACCCTCAAACTGTATAAATAGTAGGTTAGCTACAAAAACAAAACTGTTCCTAGATAGATCGAGGACATACCATGTAATTTTCCTTCAACAATTGGACTCTGACTCAAATCAAAATTACACACATAAATTTTGAAAGTTATTATATTAAAACTCTGGACAAGCCCTTTCTGTCTCATCGATCAAACTCTTGATTTCATTAGTTGTGTTTTGTCTGGACTGTTTTTGACAAAGTCCAGAGATTCCAGCAGTGAGTGTGCAGTGTAGTGGGCCAGCTCAAAGCACGTGTTCCCTCTCTGCCTGAGGAACAGTAGTCCGATCCAGTCCAGTCTCTCCATTTTAGACCCAGACCCGGACTCGGACTCCTTTTGCCTTCACATTCCTCACTGCGCCTAATAAACCCCACATACCGTCTCCATTTCAGTGGAATCTTTCTACTTTGCAATGTGTTTGAACCAACAGTTAATAGTGTGTCAAATTTTACTGGTCCTTGTAGGTGGTCAGACAGTCAGACATTGTTGGGGCTGAAATGGCCAGACTTAATGCTAATCGATTTAATGGAAAACCAAGAGATGGATACCAGTGTGAATTGTTACTCCTCTGTTCAAGAGGTGGGCAATATCAGATGATCATTAATACTGCAGATGTTGCTTTTGAAAATATGCATAATAAATATTGATTTGGGTTTATTTGAATAAAATAAGCTCTTTCAAAATCAGGGCTGATTGAAATAGAAGTTATATTGTAATCTTAGACTTGGACTTAAACTTTATTGATCCGCAAGGGAAACTATTTGGACACAGTAGCTCACAGATCACAATGTAATATAATAAAGTGCAAAATTATCAATGGGGATAATAAATTCAAAATAAGTAGCAAAAACAGCAAAAGATTACTGTCAGATAAGGCAGACAGTTGTATATGTACAAGTAAAGATAAAAATATACTGTAGAAATATGGTAAATACAAAATATCTCTGAGTAATATAAACTAGTAAGGTACGGAGAAACAGTGCAAAGACGATGACTGACATGGCATAGGGTTAACTATTACATAAGGGTGATTGTTGTATATCTGTATGGAGTATGGTATGAATGTAGTTCTGTATCTCTCACTGTTTGATCGGCGCTGTTGGAGCCTGCTGGAGAATGAGCTGCTCTGTCCCTCTGTGAGTAGTTAGAGTTTATCAGACAAATGTGAAGGACTGTAAAGTTACCCACAAAAGTGTAGAAATATCACTAACAGTTCATCAAAAACATAACTGTACTTGTGTTTTGCTTGCTTCCTGCACCTAGTAATCTTAATATCTAGTTTGTCTCCCTTTCCAGAGCTCAAAATATAAAATGAATCTCTTCCGTGTTCACTAAATACAGTTCTGATCATTTCAGCGCTTGTCACCAATACACATCTTAACAACTTTGATGCTCCCTGCTTTTTACTACTTGCTTGATGTACAAATGATGCAGAACCTTTTAGAATGGTTATTTGTTATACTGCATCCTTTTTGCTTTTGTACTTTCCTGTGTCTCATTTATTATTCAATATTCCAGAAAATACAATATTTGTTAAAAGTGTTGATTCTCTTGCTTGAACTGTGAAATCCTGTCAGAAAAAAATCTCTTAACAACTCTCTTCCCTGTTTGTGTTTTCCAGCACTTTCAAACTATGCTCAAGACCAAGCTAAATGTGTTGACGTTGAGGAAGGAGCCATTGCCCACAGTGATCTTTCATGAACCAGAGGCCATCGAGTTGTGCTCCACCACACCAGTCGCAAAGAGCAGGACCCATACTGGATACAAGGTACAGCCAGACCAATAATAGCTGTTGTAACTCATCACGTTTACTTGCACAGAGATCTCAGAGTGTGCTAAACAACAAAATTTAAATAATTTCACCCCAAAACCTGTTGACAAAGAACTGGATAGGTGCAAACTGGGGGGCTATGGGATGTCCAGGAGCATCTAGTAATTTAGGAATGGCACTAAAACTTTGCGACATCTCATTTATGTTGATCATTTCTTTTTTACACATGCTACAAATTGCGTTACTCACATATTATACATTATTTGCTCTCTGCGGAACAAAAAAAGAAGCTCCAAACACTTGTCTAATATTTTCCTGGCTGTTTCTTACCCAGTGCTGTGAATGCCTCTCCCAGTCTGTGCTTAATGTAAATCGGACTGCGCTGTTACACGAATGAATGAATCAGCTTCTCCAGATGTGTTATTGGGACCTTTGAGATTCCAACTACAAACCTCTCAATAGTAGTTCTCGAGTTTATATGCATTTTGATCAGTCTGTAAATTAGATTAGGACAGTTATTTGGTTTCCTTGAGATGCATGTAAACGTAGTGACTGTGAATCCTTAATCGCAGCAGTAATATATCTGAAATTCACAACTTTACAGCCAATGTCTGAATCTGTAGTTTGATTTTCTCATTGAATTAAATCCTTTACTAATTTGTCTCTTTAAATGTGTTACATGGGCGAAGCATGTACGTGCGTGTGGGTGGATTTGTTTTCCATGGCTCTGCTAAGTGTCATATGTTTGATCCAATGAGCTGAAGTCTTTCTCTTCACTCAGTCTTTGTCCTCACAACCAAAAAACAAACAGAGCTACATATCCAAATAGCTGCCATGATCTGTTATTACTCAGCGTGTGTGTTTGGCTGTTATTGCCACAACAAGCACAACAGTGGAGACAAATTCAATCTGTATCACAATGTATTTAGAAATGAAATTGTTTCTTTATTTAATTCAAGTTGAGATTAAAATGGATGACAATAGCGACTTAAGTTACTACAGGACTACCATTTTATTGTGTTGATGAGCGTGATTTTAGATCACTGTTATTGACCTGAAAATCCATGTTCTAGACACCATTTTGAGGACTTTTCACTACTCAAAAACATATTTAGTTTCATTAATTGTTATTGGCTATGGCAGTACTCCTCATTTTTCTTCTGTCTGAAACTCGTCAATAGGCACTGAAAATCCAAATGCAATAAATAATTGCAAAAGCCGCATTGCTCTGAAAAACTGCGGGGGTGAAATGCTTAAATAAATGCCAAGAAAACAGTCCAGGAACACTCAGTCCCCGAGGTTGTTGTGGGTAATAGTGCAAAGAAATAGAAACTATGAATCATTGATAAAATATACTACAGTGTAGTCTGAGGGACTTGACCAGGTCATGTCTGTAGTGGGGAAATCTGACTTCAGCACCTCAGCGAACATGAAGTGAAATCAAGGAGCAGAATGTCTTTTTCTGGAGTTTAAAGAAAAAGTGAACATAACTAAATCCTTAATATCTAATAACTTCAGTCATAGTGATGACAGAACTAAGAATAAAATACCCAAGTATGGACCATAGAAGTTGCTTGGAAAATAAATATTAAGCTTTAGTTCCAGCTTGTTCAGATAAGTCTGGTGCCATTGTGTTTAGTCTGCCTTCATAACAGCTAAATCCTGTATTGTGATTTAATCTGATTATGTCTTTGGTAATCAAACTCTTGGCTTCATATACTTCACTTATCAGAAAAAGCTCATTGTGGACAACAGGAATTAGATGCAGTTTAAATCATGATTATTCAGGCTTTTATTCAGCTACTTTGAACATACGAGGTCTGGTATTCCCTGTACAACTTTAAATAATGTATGTGTCTGGAAATCATCTTCAGGTGACAGGAAAGATGCCTCTGTTTTTCTTCCAACTGGATTTAACAAAAGTTTAATTCTGTCTTGTTGTGAATCTCAATCCGCTTCAAATACTTGTGATGATGTTCCGTCTTTTCTTTATCTCTTTCCATGAGGCCCTTTCCAGATTATGAAGTGAAACTGACTAAGACACAAATTTAACAAAACTTAACTTCTGGTATGTTTTTTTTTTTTTTTTCTTAACAATTTTTTTGTGATTTAGTTTAATCCACTGTGTAAAGGCAGTATTGGAGACTATTTTTGGCAAAAAGAAGTGGACAAATGATGCCAAGCTGGATACTGCCATCGTTCACTGTATGGTGTGAATCTTTCCAGTCTTACTCATATGCTAACCCTTGTCACCGTGGATACCATTACAATTATTTGCCAGAATACCAACCACATGGAGAAACATGATTTCATGTGTCCACTGGCTCCTTATATGCACATGCTCCTGCTTGCATAACTTCTTGTCTGAGTCACTACCTGCCTGTCTGTGTATCTGTCTGCCCACCTGCTCCACCAGCTCTGCTTAATGCTTCAAAATGCCACTGTTTTCATTTCTGCCTCAAGTTTCACGGAAAAAAACACCAAGGAAACAGGGGCCCTTTGTACTCGCTGCCATCCTCCCTCCTCTGGCTTCAATACACTCACAACAAAACCATTTATTATGCTCTCGGCGTCTTCCATATCGCTCTTCTTTTTACCTTTCTCAGCCTCCAGTCTTGGGGCAGGCAGGAAGGCTGGCCGAATGCTGCTGTCTCGCTGCCAAAGCTAACAGCTAGTGAGGATGAAAGGCCACCTCTCATTGCCCTGGCTGGCCTGCTGCTGTCAAAGCACTCCACTCTGCATCCATTGAGAAAACGTGTCTCTCCACAGCCTCCTCCGCTCCCCAGTCAGGCCCCTTAACAATGATCAGATTGTTCTTGATTTGGCTACAAGACCTCTGCTTAACCCCACTATCAGAAATATGTCCTTAATAACAACGCTTTTAATTTGCAATAATAAAAGTTCAGTGAGGGGTTTTAAAGTGGTGTCATGGCGGATACCTCTAGGTTTCACTCAGAATAGATCCGGCTTGTCATGGCTTTTTGTCCCTTTGTCCCCTACTACAGTCTGATGTCAGTCCTGGATGTACAGAACAAGCAGTGAGCACATGCACTTGGTTTGTAGAAGCATCCAGTTCTAGTACAGTGTCTGTTGTTTCACAAACAGCCCTGAGAAGATTGAAACTTTGTAAAAACACTGCATGGACAACAATACAAAGCCAGATTTCAAACAGTGTTATACCTCATCCCCTTTTTGAACTCCTCTTATGTAAATGTCTGATGCCTGCTCTGTGCTTTGATATAGGTCACTTTAGGAAGGCCAAGCTGGAAAAGTAACAGTTAGTGTGATGTTGTGATGCCAGTGTAGGCCATAGTGTGCCTCTGTAGGAGTTGTAGTGAAGGCGTCTTTCATCCACACTGAGGTGCTCCTGTCCGGGCCTGGAACATTCAGGGACACGTACACACACACAGCCCACATACAGAATAAACAAGCAAACATGCCGCACTAAAAACACAACTCATCCATCTATGCATGCAGCGCAGTACCGCCAGCTGTACTCTGCTGATTCAATATGTTTAGAGGAATGTTAACAACCTCCTCAGGAATGCTGCATTCCGAAGCAGTGGATTTCCAGTCATGTTGGGGGATCCAGACACAGGGGCCTACAAAGGGAGGAGCTGGATAACCTGCTCTTATATAGGGACTTTTTACTGTGCCAAAAAGCCATCAGCTTGATTTAGACATCAGCCTCATTCTGGTCTATTTTTCAAATTTTGCTGTTGTTCAAAGTGGAACCAGAGGCAATGACTTAACACATTTTCTGTGTGCTACCTAGTTACATGTTGGGTTTTGGTTAGTTGGTTTAGTTTATTCAGTTGGTCACTTGTTTATGACATGATTGTCCCGTCTTTGAAAACAAAAAGAACAGCACATAATACAGTAAGTCACAGATTGAGAGATGTGTTGTGGTGACCACCTGTTCGAGTCCATAACAAATGGCCTAAAGCTGAAACAACTACAGTACCACTAAGTGTCACTGACGGTTTGTGCCTCGGCGTAACAGTGTGCTCCCAGACTCCATCTAAAGGGACCTTCAAAAACAGCCTCTTCTCAAATTTATTTATTTATTTAAAACAATGACAGTGCACGGAAAACAAATTATTATCTCAGAGAGAAAAGACGCTCTGTGCCAGATTTAGCTACAAGTGTCTTTCCATCTGTAGCAGGTTCAAAATACATTAAAGAAACTATTTACATTAAACCATCTCTAACAACAACATTTCACCAGAAAGAGTTTCTCCTTAAAATAACCACTATCCAGATCCTTCAAGTCCTTCCTTCTTTTTGCTGATGGACAATCCAGCTGTGACGCCAGAAAAGGCAGCTGCTCTAAGTCTTTGGACACATCACTATAATTCTTAAAGCTGTGGAGCAATATGCAAAGTGCAAACAACAGGACTGTGTTATGAGCTGTAAATGTTTGCTTTATACATTTACAGTGTAACCACTCAGAGAAAGATGAATGCTTATATGAGTGGGTATACTATACAAAGAATTATTGTATCAACAAACACTAGCTGCAGGCTGTGATGTAGTAAATATAACAGGAGATTATTTAATGATTGCAATATTCTAAACAAATTCAATTAGAGATATTAAAACGTAGCCTGGGACTAAATCCAGTGGCATTTTCCACTTTGCTAAATCATTTGCCACTTCACTGTAAAAATGCCATCCTTTTTCCACTTTTAAATGTCAAGGGCACATTGAGTTTATACAGTTGTGACCTGACCTTTATTCACTATCTAAAGGCTTTATCTAAAGTCCTGACCCTCATGTTCTGAGCTTCTGACTTCAAAGCTGCCCTCAGAGCAGCCAGTGAACAGTGAAGAGTCCAAGAGGACAATATATCCTTAAAAACCCAGGGCCTAATGGTGGCCACATGTCTTACACACATGCAAATGCTTAGGCATGCTCCTCCCCGCGCTCTATGTCAAACTGTGTTTCTTCTTCAGTTTCTTTGTATAGAGCAGATTTTGATTTAAACTTGTTTACTTGGTGTCTTAAGTCTCTGCAGAAGTCCAACTTGTTTTTCTCATCCCTCTGTGTTTTGCATGTTTGAATTACAACCAAACTACATTTTGAGTGGAGCTGCTGATGAAAACCTGCTGTTACATTAAAGGGCCCATATTATGTTATTTTCTCATCTATGTTATAATGTTTCCTCATCACACACACATAACTGAAGTTGTGTTTTGTTTCTTTGACACATGTTTACAAATTCTGCATATTTAGGCTGAGTTCTTCTCTCAAACAGAAAACACCTTGTGATGTCATGTGGTGATACAGGAAGTGCTCCAGTGTGCACCTTCACTAGAATCATTCGGAGGATTTCAGCCAATAATGAGTATAATACGAAGTATATATAAATATTCAAATTGGAGATAAAGTTAAAAAAATAAAATAAAAAATCATACTTCCCCTCAAACCCCATTGACTAAGTTTTTTTTAATTGCTTTACAAAATTAGCTGCACATTGTTAGCAGCTTGAACAACTTCATCAATGTACTTCTTGGCTTGCATACAACACAAACCTTGAACTTCCCTGAAAATATTATGACACCACTTATAGTTATCTTGCATACACAGCCAAACACTCAACATGGTTTCCAGAGTGCACGAAGTAAGAGATGATAAAAATAGGAGAGAATGAGGCAGGAAGAAGACACAGATGGAAAGTTGAAACAAAGGGGGGGGACTCTGTTGATCTCTGGAATGATTTAAGCTGCCTCTCTGACGTCCCAGAGCCAGAAGGAGTGGTGAGCTCCCTGCCAGAGGTCCGGACAGCAGATGTGAGCCGGTCTGAAAAGGGTTGCTGCACGCACTCTACGCTTATAACCAAAAGCTCCATCACTAGAAAGTCCTGTGACACACAAATGCCACATTTGGTTTGATTCATGCGGCACACAAAGCTCACATCTGCACAGTTTGGCTTAAGGAGACTGAGAGAATCATGTTTCTTTGTCACTGAGGTCAGCCTGCGCACTGCTCTGTCTGTAGCTCCAGGCCCACTCACTAATCGTTTTATTTTCTATATTTTAGCGTACATTCTTGCCTCTTTCTCGAAGGCACTGTTCCCAATTTTACACAATGAAATGCAGATTTTGTTCATTTTAACCACTGAACCAAACTAATTTATCATCTTCTTATCCTAGCACATTTAACAGCTGAACGATTTCTGAAAACTTATCATATTGCAATGCTTCTGACAATTATATGATGTGTGAGATTTATGAATGGGGATTTTAAACTCTCAGCATTTGAAAACAAAAAATTTTTACTGCTTAACTCTTACCACAATGTCATGGATCTCAGAAAATGTCTAAACTACAGGATTTGTAAGGTTTATTTGTAATAAAAAGAGATTTACAAAGAGCATTATCGTAATAGTTGTAGTATTTTGTGATTGCAACCATACAAGTTTCACTTCAACTTCTCAGTTCTTTAACATTTTCTAAGCATGAACAGAACAGCTGCCAAAGCACTGCTAACAACAACTAGCCTGATAATGAGTTTACAGTTAATAAAACCCTTAATAATTAGTCAGACATCTGCACATCTTTATAATAAATAGATTCTGGTTGTAGTTAATTCTTCTTAATACTGTTTGCAGCGGAACATCTACAAAAGTGAATTTGGAGTTGCAGCTGGAGTTGATGAATGAAATATATAGGTTCCTCATACATATGCTATATTCACATAGAGTCTTCATTTTAACCATAGCTGTGTAATGGGGGCAGCATTGTCTCGTTTTGAATTTCAGTCAGTCTGATTTCTTCACTTGAAAAGTATTTGAAGCTATGTATGTTTTATGGGGGCTAATTAAGTTCTGCATTTCTCTCATACCTACATGTTTTTTATTCAACCTGCAGTGCGTACTGGTGTGCACATCTGGAGCATAGCAGTTGCTCATGTAAATTTTTCTTTACTGTCATATTCTAAACATTAGTGTCTCAATTGCCGTCCCCATGGGTCAAATTTTTGTCTCCTGAGGCACCATCAGATTCTCAGTGTAGTTTTAACAGGAACGAAATGTCAGACTCTATTATTCATTGTTACACCAAGCAGTGATCATTATTAAATTAGGAAGAACATGACACACTTAGTCTATTTCAGTCAAATGTGATCAGGTTTCTCACTGAATATTACGCCACTTGTAAGTTTATTATCTATAGTCTTTTATATACAGTATCTTTGTGAGTGTTGAGTGCATCATATGAAGTTTAAATTATCTTAAGGTTGCATTATGTATTTTTGAGGGGAGTAAGGGAGGATACTACTACCTTACATGCTTGTCACCATGGAGACAAGTTCAAGGGCATACTGTGTAACATTCCAAGCAAAGCGATAATGTAACTGACAAACAGCTGACCTAAAGTTACTTTTTGCACTTACTATTGTGATATCAAAGCCCAACATTGATTTTATTTGACATACATCAAGCCAAAACCATGATCTGAAAATTACAGCTGTAAGGAGATATTTGAAATATAGAAGAAGAAACAATACATTATTTTGTTCTATAATTGAAACGCCACAACTGCTATGGCCGTTTCAGGGAAGCCAGCAATCAGACAATAGACTTTAAACAGTTCAGCACCGAAATAGGAGAGGATAAAAACCCTGTAATCATTTTGCTTTTGTGTTGAACATACAAACAGCTCATTGTAGCTGGCTGACGTTTCCCATACTGGAGTGGGGATTTGCTGTTTGTCTGAGTGACTTTTGGCAGTGAGCGTGTGTCAGTGGTGGACGATAAACCGCTGCGCCTTCAGGAGATGTGTGAGGCCGTGGCACTGGGCTGGATGATGGATCCCACCCCGCGGTCAGCGCTAATGAAAAGCAGACAGAGAAGACAGCTGCTTCACTACAGCCGCATGTCACACTGTTTCCTATAGGACCACAAATTAGTACTGTTTTGTACCGCTAATGCTAGGGCTAATGCCACATTCACATGAAAACTGACAGGATGAAATGGGCATGAAGTTCAATTAAACTGGTGAGAAAATCTTGTGATTTTCTTTTTGCATATTTGTGTATCTGTGTCAGAGTTTTTGTAATTTGAGGCTATACAAAAATGTGTTTTTTAAATTATCTTCAAAGCGATTGATTTTATTACAGTTGTTTTCCAATTTAAAATCTTAAAGTAAAAAAAAAATCCTTAGTCCTAATATAGATCCAGGTGGAACCCCTAAACCTTATTTATTGCCTGTTTAGTTTGATTTTGTGGCTGATGCTCTACCCTGTTCTCAGCCAAAGCAAGCACCTTTTATTCTACAACATAGCTGCAGAAAATCATCTGTGAATGTAAATGAACTTGTTATTCATGCATCCAGAGTAACTGAAGGCATCAAACCTTGCTGTGACTGGCCCTGACTCTCGACTTTATGCTTATGTTTTTGTGGTGACACCTTTTTCATATGAGCAGTCTAACTATGAGGCCAGTAGTGGGTGAATGACTGGAGTATTGTTCTTTAAAGATCACATTTACGTTGTGGCAAAGGAGGCCACAGAGAATTTTAGTGTCAGACTAAACACAACTCAAAGAGAAGGGAAGCAGACAGATCATGTGATGAAGAAAAAACAGGAAATATGACTGCTGCCAGGAGTCTGTGTGAGATGTATCATGTTGTTTCATTTCTCAGAAATGAAAAAGTAAAAAATAAAAAAGCAAGTACTAGATTTGTGCCTATTGTTACTGCTGAAAAGGGGGTTTTATGTATGCCATATAAAACATGTGTTGAGGAAACACAGATTTCACCTGATTATCAGGCCATGCCATCTCGCACGCTAGGCAGGGTTTGGTCTGGTAAGTACCGGGTGGGAGAGCGTGGGAATACCAGGTGCCATCGTGGGGCAGCAGTGACTCAGATGTTTAAGTACATACTGCAGTTGGGTGTTTAGGAAAGATACTTCTGTCCCTCCAGTGTTGAAGTACGCTGGTGAATAAGAGTGAGAGTGAATGCTAGACAAAGGATAAATTGGCATGGCAACAACCCGGTGTGCTGGTGCTATAATAAATAAATAAATAGAAATAGTATGTTGTATGTGTTGTTATATTTTTGAAGAATGTGTTTTATGTGATGGTTGTGATATATTAGTGTTAGATTAGTGCTTTTTCTGTTTGCAGTGGTGAAATTCATTCCTTCTAATGGTTCATATCTCTCACTCTGTTGCAGGTGAACTACCTGGGGAAGGTGACCATCTCTGGGAGCCAGTTTTTGTCAGGCTGCACAGAGGGAGCAGTGGTGGGGCTGGTGGAGCACAGAGCCCTGGCTCAGCAACAGGGGACATGCCCCAAAGGCAGCTCTGTCCTGGAGATCCGACCTTTCCAAGTGCGCCTCCATCACCTGGATGAGCATGGAGAGGCCTCCTCAAACATGGACACGTACCAGGTGGCACGGATTGCCTATTGCACGGCTGACCACAGCGTCAGGCCCAATGTGTTTGCATGGATCTATAGAGAGATCAACGACGACCTGTCCTTCCAGATGGACTGCCATGCCGTCGAATGTGAAAACAAGCTGGAGGCCAAAAGACTGGCCCACTCCATGATGGAGGCCTTCCGCAAGACCTTCCACAGCATGCGCAGTGACGGGCGCATTCACAAGAGCGGCTCCACGGACGACTTCACCGAAGACTCGTCCACTCCTGAAGATACCACTCCAGACGACGGCTGAAGGACTGAACGCAAACTCCTCCTCTCAGTCCTGATCCAAGGATGGACAGATCTCATTCTCCTCTAGTCTCTTTCTCTTTCATTTGGAACACAAATCAACTGACCCTGTGAACCACCATGCCCAGGTTAATGACGTAGCTCTGAAACAAAGGGAAGGTTGATGAATAAATGACATTTAAAAACATGGATAGCAAAGTGCTGCCATTTGAATCAAATGCCCTCAAAGACCCACAAGGGCATCTCAAGCACCTCCTGAGATTGACTAGACATTTCCATTTCTCTTACTCCCTGAAAAGACACACTTTGTGGTTCTTAAGCTTTTTTCATTTACTGAACTACAAATATGGTTCCTGTTACGACCTTAGCTCATGAAACCGAATGCTACTCTTGCCATGTGTGGACCCAGCAAATAAGACTGTGACTTATTTTGGGTTCCATCTCCAGAGTTCCTTCCACGCTGGAGCACATTAGTTCTCATATAAATGAATGATCTATGTTACAATGCCTTTGACCTTGATAATAAGTAACAAATGTGGATACAACTTAAAGCACTATTCATATCATCACTATGGTACTACCCAAGACTGAGGTAGAGGCAGTCCCTATGTCTCTACTAAATACAAGAAATATGGAGCACCTGCTTGGAGAAGGGTGCTCAAAAAGAATTAGGTTTTGGCTGAAGGGTTGGCCTGTCTGCACATCTCAATCATTCACATTCTGTTAGTATACCAAATCCAGGCTGTTTTTTGCAGCCTGCCAGATTATGTGCCTCACTTTCCTCTCACATTACGTATTTTTAACCCTGGTCTCATCAATTACATGTGGCCAAGTACTTGTGTTATACGTATGCGTGGTAGCTTCCTTCTGCACGGTTGGCGTATTGCATATGAATGTACATGAGTGCTTGAATATCTGCGCGTGACTGACGAGTATGTTTGGTTTGGGAAACTATCCAAGACGTACAAAAGTCAAGGTACTGTGACCATACTGCCACCTTTATAAGTTCTTTTTAACTTAGGGAGGAAGATGCAAAGATGGGGAGGCAAGGTTGTAGCCGCCATAGTGCTTGTTCATAAATAATAGCCATCCGAGGCAAGTGACAAAGCTTTTGAATGCACTATACTCGAGTTATAGTGTAGCGACCAAGGAGCATCAATACAACTGCTCCACACCACTTTTTTCCTTTTAACTTGACCAGACAGAACTGTGATCATTGAGGCCATAGGCAGTTCACAGTGGAGCAAAGGATCAGTTGATGGCTAATGAAAGACTTGTGTGGATCCAGATGTCAGCTCACCCTAACCCATATTAATGTCCTTGGTTGAAAATCTTTATATCATATACGGTACAACATGTGTTTCAGATTGTATGTGAAAACAATGGTGCCAAAACGCTGGCAAGTCCGTCCAATTTGGAGTCAGCGTGTTCCAGTGTACTTTCTTCAGTCACCTTGAAAAACAGGTTGAATCTCAGCTTAAAGACTGTTATACTTAAACCACAATCTGTTTTTTTTTTTTTTTTTGCCGAATTTGACTACAGGCAGAGACAGTTAACAGTACTATAAACTTAAACCTGAATTGTTTTACTCTTACAAGCAATGTAAGATTTCTTAGAGTCCAATTATTATATTTGACATGCATGCAAATCATTAATGCTAAAATGCTGTAAAGATTGGGGATCATTCTCGTATAATTTATAGATATTTCCTCTGGAGTTTACATGTGTTTACATTAGAAACCAGATAAATTATGGCAGCAAGGGGCGTATTTAATCAAAGCGTAATATCCAGCTATTTCTACATGGACTGATAAAGACGCTAAAGGCTGTACTGTCACAATCATACCGGGTACACTGCGTGCTTCGAATTTATCCGTTTAAAATGACAAATTATTTTCTTTCTATATTTCATTTTCACCAATAATTTTAAGCTACATTCGGACTGCTGACGTCTGGAGCCACACAGGGCCCATGCAGTTAACTCCTCTTTGTTGGTCCACTTACACTGCCCATATGTTAGGCTCCAGATTACGTAATAATAGACCAGACTTAGAATACAATATTGATCTAGGGTACGGCACAGAGTAGTACGCAAAGACATATTTAAATCTTTGTTGATAAGCTTATATACAAATCCAGATGTAATCACTTTCCAAGTACAGTATAGAAAAGAATAGTTATATAATGATAGAACATAGAGAACCATAGTACAATACAGAGCAGTGTTATGAAGCCTACTGTGAAATAAGAATAGCCTGATAGTGGTGTACGTGTGTGTGTCCGTGTGTGTGTGTGTGTGTGTGTGTCTGTGTGTGTCTGTGTGTGTCTGTGTGTGTCTGTGTGTGTATGGGGTTGATTGTATGTGAGTGTGACTGAAGAGTGAGGAGTGTGCATGGACAGGCCAGAGATAAGTTTTTATAAAGCTGTATATTACTGTGTCTTGTCTGTCAGAAAGCTTGGACGCGCTTTAAATGTTCAAAAATGTTACCTTAAGTGTTTTCTATACAGTGTTTGCAAAGATCAAGAAACAAATTGCATATAAAGTACCTATCAAATGCAACGGTGTGGTCTATTTGTTTGCATTTTATTAGTAATAATGATATGGTGATATTCTTTTGCCAGGCTGGTGCCACCTAGTGCCTCCTCTCAATTTCATTTCTTTCCAGCAACTAGGTCAGAAATCAGAATACACTAAACGGTTCGCAAAAACCCTGGAAGTGCGAGTCTGGGCACCAGCCAATCAGCGAAGAGCCATATATTCTGTGTTGTCAATGATTTCTGAGATTGAGGATTTAAAGCCAGAATAAAGAGAATGTTTGGTGAATTTTATCAAAGATGTTATTGCCCTTCTTCCTACAGCAGTTGGGAAAAGCTTAATATGCCAGTTAGGTCTGTCAGCGGTGCATTATATACGTCACGACCAAATAGCAGTGATTGGCTAAATTAAAAAAAGTACCTTCCTACCGTAGCGCAAACAAATTCTAACACTGCGAGGTCAGATGGTTTCTACAAAGTGAAACCGGCTGATGAATCAGGCTAGATATTCTCTGCTTGAGTTGAAAATATCTCTAAACAGACGTGTTATTTATTTGCCTGCATGTTCCACAGTATAGCATTAAAATTATCTAGCTTGTGTTTTGTTTTTATTACTCAAATGTATGTTCAAAAATTGCATTCATGACTTGTAACTTGGAGTTCTCACCTGCGTGTCCCCATGAAGATATGTTTAATGCCATACTGTGGAACAATGATAACTCCATGGAGACAAACAACCAGAAAAGCTAGAGCGTGCACTTTTAAATCAACATAGCTCAACAAAGCTTACTTATCATAAACACAAAAATAAGCAAACAAAAGAAAGGCGAGTCATAAATGTGCCAGAATCTGCTAGAAAACACATTTTATTTCCACTGGTTTCTAAATGCCAACTGTAGTGGGAGTAGAGTGTTTGAAGTGACTCATACAGTTTACATGCGGTCGCACATGCCCTGCAAAAACATCACTGCTCCACTCCTTCAATGGTGGCACCAAGTCAAGCCTAATTCCCAGCATTCCTCACGTTTTGTCAGAACTTTTATTGTGTTTGTCTAGTTGTTGTGCTGCTCTCCGTCACCGCAGTGCATCAAAAGGACCACATCAGGGAGACGTTATCCTGGTGCCTGACACTACCACTGTAATTGAAAGCAAAATGGATGCTGTTTTAAGTGTTGAAATGAGTGCACTGCCTCCCTCTGGTGGCAGAAGGAAGTATTAACGTACTATAAGACGAATGAGACCTAATCATGCAAAATAAAGAAATAATGGTCGTGAAGCGTTCAACTCTGAACTTGGATAAGGTTTAAAGGTGCACAGAGGAGGTTAACTTTTCCAGTGGGCGGGTTCACGGCCGTGGAGATGCTATTACTTGCTTGGAATGTTACTCACTAAGGTGTTAAACTTATATAACATGCATTTATTAAATTACGGGTGTTTGCATTGCTCAGTAATGCCTCCAGGAACACAGCCTACATTCTTACTGTGACACGGGGCATCTCTCCATAGATAAGACCTCTGACTCAGTCTTGTGGCATTACCTGTCTCCATGAAGAGAAGTTTAATACCAAACTGTGAAACCTTCCAGACAAAGCAACAACATCTCTATGGGGTCTCTTCACTAGACAAGTTACATAACCAGTATACATCTTTGCCAGTGTGCAAGGGGCCAGTTGGGTTTGTGTGCTCCACACATGCTAGACTTTGAAAGTCTCTGCCCACTCTTCACAGCTAATTTCACACTTTTTTTTTTTTACAACATAAAAAGAGACTTATCTAGTTGTATTGCTTTGAGTTCATCTTCTTCCAGATTCACTGGAATGTGGCGATAAGCACACGTCGCAGTGTTGGAGCTGTACATTGTTCCTTTGACTGTTGCTGGCCTTTTGTAACTTGTTGCTTGACTCACAACATGCTATTTGGCTGCACTGTCCTGACCCACTTCCAGCAGAGCATGAGCAGAGGGGCCCCAGAAGGAGGCCCCGCAAGCAGCCCACGGCTCTGCTCTGCTCCACTGAGGAATCCCCCACAATACCACACTGTTACTGCTCCAAACCAGTTTGTCTGTCCACACGCCAAGGGCCCGCACTCTGAGCTCCAGCTGGGGAGGGGCCCCATGCCAACCCTGGCTTATAATCAGCCCTATCGGCTTTGTTTTCTCTGGGCTCCCGGTGCCAGAGCAAGGGGCCCTGGCCCCCGCTGAGTGCTTTACTGTAAACACATGGACATGTTACTTTTGTAACTTTTGTGTGATATAGAAACTGGCATTGTTTCTCTACCTTCTCATTCAGAACCTTTGGGCTCTTGATGAATGAAACATGGGCAAGAACTTGTTTTTAGTTTGTTCATTTCAATGCAACAGATCAGCAGACACTATTGTACTTGTTTTAAGTCTCTATTTTTTGGTTGTAAACTAATTCATAAAATGTTTTTCAACTCCTCCCACTACACTATTTGTGACATAACACCAAGCTTCTTCCATAATATACAGTATTAATATCTTAAAGGACTATGCACTTTGCACATTTTCAGACAGACGGTTCACCAACTGTCAATCTGCACAGAGGTGTATTTGCTTTGCCTGTGATGTCCATAGTATAGCATCTAATATTATGACAAGTGCTGCTTATTTGTGAAACTAATCAATAAAAATAACCCTGAAACGTTAGTGCATCTTTAAACAAATTAGACTTAATTATTAGACTCAGTTAGGCCTTTGTAATGTAGTTCTTTTTTATTTTTTACTCTTGTTTCATTAATAATTTGGTTCAGTGTTTTTCTTCAGTAACATTTTTAGTAGCTAAACTATACTCAAGTCCATGTGGTGCTATGTCTGAGACAATGATTTATGAAGAAACATAAGAGTTTAAGGAGAAAGGCAGGCTCAGTAGTAATCCAGGAGGAATGTTGGCATCTACAGCAATCTCCTGATGTTTTTCTGACTATTTTGTCTGCAAAAACACCTGGGGCAGTCAACAGAGGAGGTACGGGAACTTACAAAAAACATTAAAAGAGCTATAGCCTAACATGAACTAACATGAAGAATTTTACAAGGCCAGATTTAAAATATATACTCTCCTAACTCATATGATGTTGCAGACAGATGTTGAAAGAAGTATCATGTCCTTTTTATGTAAGATTAAAATTAACAAATGAGAAAATGAAAATTTAAAGAAAGTTCTCTTCTTTTGGACTCCTCAAAAATTAAACTTTTCTGTTTAATGTTATGTTTCATAAAAATATAAAGCCAGGGATAACTTTTGCTGTTACATCTTTTGTCCACTTAGTGTCGCCAGAGATCAGTTTTGAAAGACTGTGACTGACTCCATTGTATTAAAATATTACATTGTATTATAAAATCGATAGGCCTATTGAATATTTTAGGTGTAGTTGTATAGTTGTTGAAGGTGTTGCACTAAATAAACAAATAGCATAAATAACCTTAATAAAAATAAATGAACAAATAGGCTTGAATTAAAGAAAAAAAAAATCTAAATAAATAAATAAATTAATAAATTAAATTAAATAAAAACAAACAAAAAACATCCTGTACACAACCAAGATCTGCAAATAATATCCAATCAGACTAACTATTCTGCTGTTATTTCGTTCTTAGTCCACTTGGTGTCACTAGAGCTCAACTTTTAAGCCCTCTGCCTAGTTCACCACTACTGCATTCATAAGTATTAAGCACATAAAAATATACTTACACATACCTCATCCTGATAGAACCTGGTATTGTAAGCACTACTACATCACTAGTTTTATCTAAAATTATTATGGTTTTATACATTCTCTACAGCCTAAATATTTAAACTCCAAGGATTTTGCACAAACACTTTAGCTGTCGAATGGGTGTAAGTCATTTTAGATTTCTTAAAGTATATAGAGCTGATGAGTATTGGTGTATAATTTTAGGGTGTCAAGGCTCTTGTTGTGGTTCCGTGTGGTTCTATGACATTTCCTGCACATTGTAAAGTGAAGCTTCTGCGACTACACAAATAATTTAGGATACACCATGCTCCCATTCCCTGTCCACAGAGTCAACCATCAGCAATAATCAGATAATCCATTACCGTATAACTTATCTCCTTAATTGAAGTCATTACTCATTCTCCTAGGTCAAACTGAAACTGAGCCAAAAGACACCACTGCGTCTTTGAATCGATCCACATTTTCTAAGTAATCAGTTAACCCATAAAACCCCAAAGCCCATGGTCGTTTTGGTTTCACTGCGAGTTTTATGCGCCTATGTGCCCTCCCGCATGCTCGCTTTTATTAGCACCATTACATTTAAAGGTTCTGTAAAAAAAAACTGTAGGCTGGTGCCACTTTTTGGGCTCTATCTCCGCCAGGCCAAGGTTGTCCAGTATTATTAATAGGCTATAATATTGTTATTATTGTAAAGGCAGTTCCAACACAAACAATAGCCTAACCTAACCTATAATTTTACACAGAAATGAACCAAAATAGAAAGACAGCATGTCCAAATGAAAAGTTGGTGGATTTTAATTCTGTGTCCAGGGTGCAACTATACATAATAATAATAAATAATAATAAATAAATAATAAATCATAACAATAAAATAAATAAATAAATGTATCCACAGAGTTTCCTCCGCAGGGTGGCTGAGTCCTCCCTTAGAGACAGGGTGAGGAGCTCGGAGTAGAGCTCCTGCTTCTCCCTGTAGGTGTTGCGAGCATGTCTTGGAAGGAGGCCCCAGTTAAGACCCAGGACATGCAGGAGGAACAATGTCTCTCAGCTGGCCTGGGAACAGCATTGGGTCCGTTGGGAGGAGCTGGAGGAAGTACTTGTGGAAAGGGAAGTCTGAGTGTCCCTGCTCAAACTGCTGCCTCCACTACCCGGCCTTGATAAAGCAGAAGAAATGGATGGGTGGATTTTCATAGCCTAAGCCTAAATCCCTCTGAAACCCAAAGATAGTACCTTTATTGACATTTTGATTTTCACCAAACATAATACAGGTTATACTGGCTTCCACTGACCAGTTTGAGTCAACAGGTTCAGATAACACACCAGCACCTTCAGAATCTGTGGGGAGTGGTCAGCGTCTCCACCTCTAAAGGGATCTTTGGTGATCCCCAGTCGCCTCCAACATATATCCAATGGAAGGACAGCCCTTT